TCTGCTTCCATCAGTCACTGGATGAAGGTTCTAGGATGGCATATAAGGTAGATGTCAAGCTCATTATCAGGAATGAGCATTTAAGATGGTCTCTCCACCATTGCTTAGCTGACGAGTTGGTGTCATCCCTTTAGATCACTAGAGGTCTCACTGATGCCAGATCTCTCTTCTAACCTATAACTTCCTCTATTATGGTATTTCTCATCCTGTTCTCCCCTATTCTATCCCCCCACTCAACCTTCCTGTTTCCCCATGACCTACTCTCTCTTCCTCTTCTCCCCCTCTCTTCTTCCCAGCTCCCACTCCTCCCCACCCCTTGCCGTGTTCCCAATCTGTTCAGAAGATCTTGCCTCATTCCTCTTCTCTGGGGTACCATGCATATCTCTCTTAGGTTCTTCCCTGTTTCCCAGACTCTCTGTCAGTGGAAGTGCAGACTGGAACTATCCTGATCCATGTCTAAAATCCATATAAGAGTGAGTACATACCATGTTTGTCTTTTTGTGACTGGGTTGCCTCACTCAGGATGGTTTCTTCTAGTGCCATCCATTTGCCTGCAAATTTCAAGATTCCATTGTTTTTTTTTCTGCTGAGTAGTACTCCACTGTGTAAATGTACCACATTTTCTCTATCCACTCTTCAGTTGAGAGGCATCTAAGTTGCATCCAGGTTCTGGCTAATACAAATAATCAGTGGAACAGATGTCCTTGTTGTATGAATTTGAATCATTTGGATATATGCCTAAGAGTGGAATTGCTGGGTCTTGTGGTAGATTGATTCCCATTTTCCTGAGGAATCTCCATACTGATTTCCAAAGTGGCTGTACTAGTTGGCACTCCCACCAGCAGTGGAGGAGTGTTCCCCTCTATCCACATCCTATCCAGCATAAACTGTCATTGGTGTTTTTGATTTTAGCCACTCTGACAGGAGTAAGATGGTCTCTCAGAGTTGTTTTGATCTGCATTTCCCTGATGGCTAGGGACATTGAGCACTTTCTTAAGTGTCTCTCAGCCATTTTAGACTCCCCTATTGAGAATTCTCTATTTAGTTCTGTACCCCACTTTTTAATTGGATCCTTTGGTGTTTGGAGACTTGCTTCTTGAGTTCTTTGTAAATTTTGGAGATTAGCCCTCTGTCAGATGTGGGATTAGTGAATACCTTTTCCCATTCTGTGGACTGCCTTGTTATCTTTTTGACTGTGTCCTTTGCTTTACAGAAGCTTCTTAGTTTCAGGAGGTCCCATTTGTTAATTGTCAATCTCAGTGTCTCTGCTACTGGTGTTGTGTTCAGGAAGGGGTCTCCTGCACCAATTCATTGAAGAGTATCTCCCACTTTCTCTTCTAAGAGTTTCAGTGTGGTTGGATTTATGTTGAGGTCTTTGATCCATTTGGACTTAAGTTTTGTGCAAGGCAATAGCCATGGATCTATCTGCAGTCTTCTGCATGCCAGTATCCAGTTATGCCAGCACCATTTGTTGAAGATGCTTTCTTTATTCCATTGTATATTTTTAGCTTCTTTGTCAAAAATCAGCTGTTCATAGGTGTGGGGGTTAAAATCAGGGTTTTCAATTCGGTTCCATTGGTCTACCTGCCTATTTTTGTGCCAATACCAAGCTGTTTTCAGGACTATAGCTCTGTTAATAGAGCTTGAAGTCAGGTATGGTGATGTCTCCTGAAGTTCCTTTATTGTATAGGGTTGTTTAGGCTATCCTGGGCCTTTTGTTTTTCCATATAAAGTTGATTATTGTTCTTTCAAAGTCTGTGAAGAATTGTGCTGGAATTTTGATAGGTATTGCATTGAATCTGTAGACTGCTTTTGGCACGATGGCCATTTTTATTATATTTATCCTACCAATCCAAGAGCATGGGAGATCTTTCCATTTTCTGGTATCCTCTTTGATTTCTTTCTTTAGAGACTCAAAGTTCTTGATATACAGGTCTTTCACTTCTTTGGCTAACATTATCCCCAGATATTTGATGCTGTTTATGGCTATTGTAAAGGGTGATGTTTCTCTGATTTCTTTCTCAGGCACTTCATTATCTGTATATAATAGGGCCACTGATTTTTTTTTAGTTAACCTTGTATCCTGCCACTTTGCTGAAGGTGTTTATCAGCTGTAAGAGTTCCCTGGTAGAGTTTTTGGGTCACTTATGTAAAGTATCATAACATCTGCAAATAGTGAAATCTTGACTTCTTTTCCTATTTGTATCCCCTTGATCTCCTTTTGTTGTCTTATTGCTCTAGCTAGAACTTCAAGTACAATATTGAAGAGATATGGAGAGAGTGGACATCCTCGTAAATGCTATTTAGCACCTATTGATAGATGGTAATGATGTTAATGTTAAATTTTTCTATATGTCTTCTATTGCTGTTCAACTACTATATCAACTGTTAAGGCAAAGAAAGGTATTGAAGCCTCCTAGTTATTAATATATAGAGATTTGCATAGAATTGTAAAATCCTAACAGTGTTTACATCACATGTTTTGAAATAATTTTTTTTCTGGTGCAAATACCTTTAGCATTTCGGTGACATCTTGTTGAATGACCTTTTATCCATATATAACATCTCTGTCTCTGATTGTTTTCTTTATTTGTTATCCTGCTACCTTTTTCTATAGTTTGTTAGTATAAATACTTTTGCATTTAATTGAATAATATTTTAGTGATATAGATCTATTTTTACTTTCAATTTATCATATTTCAATTGGATGTCATATAAACAGGATACAGTATAGCCATATTTTAATTCATTCTACCAATTTTGCATTTTTAATTTCTGTATATAAATATTTACATTGAAAATGATTATTGATATACAAGTACTTAATCCTGCTTCAATGCTGTCTCTATTATTTATTTTTTCTTCATCCATCTTATCTTTCTGTCTTCTTTTAAGTTACTTGACAATTTTTCTATAATTACATTTATGTGCATATTTTGGTGTATTACTTTTTATAGCTTTTAAAATTATTTCTTCAGATATTTTATCATACATGCACAACTTATGGCCATCTAATAACATCCTTTTGCTAATTAGATTAAAATGTTGAAATCTGTCCATGGCAATACCACCCTGAATGCACGCAATCCTATCTTATCTGAAACGTTGAAACCAACCTCTCTTTTGTGTTCATTTTAGGCCTATCAAATGGGACCAGATAATACAAAAAGTTCTCGGTCAATGGCACACACTTGCTCTAATCAGAAAGATGTAGACAAGTAATATGTCTAACTGCAGCTTACTATCAACTATCTTGATAATCTACCCTGGGATTTATATTTTCTGAGTAGATAACACAAAACATTAGAACAGTATGCCAATGAGAAAGACAATTAATATCTCAAAATATTAAGTATTTTATGTCTATCATGAATCTTTAATTACTATTTGATTATTCTATTCCTTTCTAACTATGCATAACACTCCTATATTCTATCTCAATTGTCTGTATCACATCATCACATCACATTGAACAAACACTTAGTTTCATATTTTTCTTTTTCTTTTATATGCCAGAATTGAATATTCTTAATACTACAGAAAACATACATTATACTTGACAACCATAAAAAGATGATCTGTGAATGGAAATAACCCCATGTACTTCTGGTCCAGCCTATTTGGTGTTCTGAAGATTCTTGTATTTTCATAGGCATATCCTTCTTTAGGTTAGGGAAGTTTTCTTCTATGATTTTGTTGAATATGTTTTCTGTACCTTTGAGCTATATTTCTTCGCCTTCTTCTATTCCTATTATCCTCAGGTTTGGCTTCTTCACGGTGTCCCATATTTCCTGGATATTTTGTGTTAGGGATTTGTGGGTTTTGAGATTTTCTTTGGTTGACGACTGTATATCCTCTAATGAGTCTTCAACACCTGAGATTCTCTCTTCTATCTCTTGTATTCTATTGGTGATACTTGCATCTGTAGTTCCTTATCATTTACCCAGCTTTTCTATTTCCAGCATCCCCTCGTTCTGTGTTTTCTTTATTGTTTCTATTTCAGCTTTCAATCCTTCAACTGTTTGAGTTGTTTCCTTCATTTGTTTGGTTGTTTTTTTCTTAGTATTCTTTAGATTCTTTGAGAAATTTGTTTATTTCTTGAATTTTTTGGTTTGCCTTTTCCCCCATTTCATGTATTTTTGTTTGTTTTTTCTTCTATTTCTTTAAGGGATTTCCTTGTTTCCTCTTTGAGGGTCTCTATCATCTTCATAAAATAATTTTTAAAGTCTGTCTCTTCTGCTTCATCTATGTAGTGCTTTTCAGGTCTTGCTGGCATTGCGTCTCTAGATTCTGGTGGAGTCATGTTGGTTTCTCTATTGCTGAGTGAGCTTTTATTCTGTCTTCTTCCCATCTATTCTTCCAGTGCATGCAGGTGGGGTCTTTCTGTCTCCACTGATCTCCTTCTTTCCTGAAGCTGAAGCTGGTGATGCTGGAGGGTGGGATCTGAAAGGACTGATGCCTTTCCTGTGTGGGCGGGTCCTCTGGCTGCCAGGAGCAGCCCTGGAAGATTGAGGAAGTGGGTGATGGGCGGGAGCGGGTTGGTCCCAGGGAGACCCAAGCTCACCTGAAGCTGGGGGCACCAGAGGTTGGGGTCTGGAAGGACTGATGCCTTTCCTGTGTGGGCGGGTCCTCCCCCATATACTTCGTATAGAAAGCAAAGAGAAGTGGTAATCACGTGCTACAGCTCATGTAAAGAAAAGTGCTGTGCATTTGTATTTGGTGGGATCTCTCTTGGTTGATATAAATAATTGGTATCAGAAACTTTTCAAATGTTGTGACACATGCATATTTTACCTATTTGAAAACAGAATGTTTGCTGGAAAGTGGTGGCACACACCTTTAATCCCAGCACCGGGGAGGCAGAGGCAGGCAGATCTCTGTGAGTTAGAGACCAGCCTGTTCTACAAGAGCTGGCCCCAGGACAGCCAAAAAAAGAAACCCAGAATTTTTCATGTTTTCACTTATAAACTACAACCTCACGTTTCTTCTTCTCTACACAGCTATCAGAATGGCAGAGAAACTCAACCTTCCAGAAAACACAGATGACTGGACAAAAGAGGATGTGAACCTGTGGCTAGAGAGTCATAAGATTGACCAAAAGCACAGGGAAATCTTGATGGCACAAGATGTGAGTGGGGCAGTCTTGAAGTGGTTAAATAAAAACAATCTTGTTGGAATGGGCATAACCCATGGACCAGCTATCCAAATAGAAGGGCTATTCAGAGAACTGCAGAAATCATCTTCAAAACAGCCTACTCAGACACCTAAAAGGAAAAAAAGCAACAAAAACACTCCTAAAACTCAGACAGAAAGTACAGAAACTTCAAAGCAAAGCCAAAGGGGTGAAGAGAACGCAGATAAGGCTGAAGCCTCCGCGGTGAGGCCAGAGGCTAAAGGTGCCAAATCAGGAAGTGATGAGCTGACAGAAGGCAAAGCAGAGACACAGGGTAAACAGTCACCTCCAGGACCAACATGCACTGCATACCCTTTCAACGAATTCAGTAATCCGTATCGTTACAAATTACATTTCATCCTGCAGCCTGAAACAGGGCCGCTCAATCTCATCGACCCGGTACATGAATTCAAAGACTTCACAAACACAGAAAAAGCCACAGAAGAGGACATTAAGATGAAATTTAGCAATGAGATTTTCCGATTTGCTTCAGCTTGTATGAACTCACGTACTAATGGGACCATTTATTTTGGAGTCAAAGACAAACCCCAAGGAAAAATTGTTGGCGTGGAACTCACCACTGTCACTAAAGACACCCTAATCAACCACTTCAATCTGATGATAGACCAGTATTTTGAGGTCCATCAGGTCCAACAAGCAAAGAAGTGTATTCGAGAGCCAAGATTTGTAGAAGTACTACTGCCAAACAGTACTCCATCTAACAGATTCGTTATTGAAGTAGATGTCCTTCCACAGCACTCTGAATGCAGAGAAGACTATTTCCAGATCAAAATGCAACATCTTAAGAACCAAACATGGCAACAAAGTTCAAAGTACTCAGTCTTTGTTCGAGATGGGCCCCGAAGTAAGGACATCATAGGGAATAAAGCTGATTTCAAGGCCTTTAAGTTAGATTTAAAAACAGTGGCAGACTCTAGGAAAGAAGCAGAAACAAAATACAAAGAGAAGCCAGATGGAAACAAGAGTGAGGGACAAAAGCTAATCGATCTGTTGACAGGAAACCGGGATCTGTTAGATAACTCATACTATGAGTGGTACATACTCGTAACAAATAAATGCCATCCAAATCAAAACAGTCACTTAGATTTCCTGAAGGAAATTAAGTGGTTTGCTGTGTTGGAGTTTGATCCTGAGTCTGAGAGCAATGGTGTAGTCAAGGCTTTCAAACAAAGTCGAGTAGCAAACCTCCACTTTCCAAGCCAATTTGTGGAAGAAAAAACGACATTAAATGAGAAGATTTCCAGCTTGAATCTTTACCAGCAACCCAGCTGGATTTTCTGCAATGGCAGGTCAGACCTGGAGAGTGACAAATATGAACCCTTAGATCCTATTTCTTGGCAAAGAGAAAGAGCTTCCGAAGTCAGGAGGCTGATTTCATTCCTTACACGTGATGACATAATGCCCAAAGGGAAATTTTTGGTGGTATTTTTACTACTGTCCCCCGTGGATGACCCAAGAGACCCTCTCATTGAGACTTTCTGTGCTTTCTACCAAGACCTCAAAGGAATGGAAAATATACTGTGCATTTCTGTACACTCGCACATCTATCAGGTGTGGAAAGACCTACTTGAAGCAAGATTATCAAGACAGCAAGATGAGTTGTCAAGCCAGAGCATTTCTGCTTTAAATCTTGCAGAGATAAATGGCACTGTTCTTAAGTTAAAATCCTTAACTCAGTCTTCAAAGCGATTCTTGCCATCTGTCGGCTCATCTACTGTCCTTCTGAAAAAGGAAGAAGAAATCATGACTGCCTTGGAAATTCTCTGTGAGAATGAATGTGAAGGTACACTCTTGGAAAAGGACAAAAAGAAATTGTTTGAATTCAAGGCATCCAAAGAGGAAGACTTCTACAGAGGTGGCAAAGTGTCCTGGTGGAACTTCTACTTCTCTTCTGAAAACTATTCTTCATCATTTGTGAAAAGGGATAAGTATGTAAAACTTGAAAAAAAAATTCAAGAATGGGCAGATTCTTCTCAACCAGTGTGTGCAAAAATTATTCACCTGTATCATCATCCAGGCTGTGGAGGAACTACTTTGGCCATGCATATTCTCTGGGAGCTAAGAAAGAAGTTCAGATGTGCTGTGCTGAAAAATAAGACAGAGGATTTCTCAGAAATTGGAGAACAGGTGACAAATTTAATCACCTATGGAGCAACCAGCCGTCAGGAGTACTTACCTGTGCTGCTCCTTGTTGATGATTTTGAAGAGCAAGACAACGTCTACCTTCTTCAGGCCTCCATTCAAACTGCTGTTGCCAACAAACATATTCGATATGAGAAGCCTCTGGTGATCATTCTAAATTGCACAAGGTCACAAAATCCTGAGAAAAGTGCAAAGGCCCCAGACAGTGTCGCTCTAGTCCACCAACTGTCTGACAAAGAACAGAGAGCATTTGAGCTTAAGTTGACAGAAATCAAAGAACAGCATGAAAACTTTGAAGATTTTTATTCCTTTATGATCATGAAAACAAATTTTAACAGAGAGTACATAGAAAATGTGGTCAGGAACATTCTGAAAGGGCAAAATATCGCCACCAAGGAAGCAAAGCTGTTTGCTTTCCTAGCTCTTCTTAACGCGTATGTACCTGATACTACCATTTCCCTTTCACAGTGCGAGTACTTCCTAGGCATCTCAAACAAGAAGGCTTTCTGGGGCACAGAAAAGTTTGAAGACAAGATGGGTACCTACTCTACAATTCTAATCAAATCAGAGGTGATAGAATGCGGGAGCTACTGCGGAGTGCGTATCATTCACCATGAGATTGCCACTGTCTCTCTGGAAGAATTGAAGAGAAGCTACAATTTAAACAAAAGTGAAATTGTGATGAATATGCTCACAGAAAATTTATTCTATGACATGGGTATAGGAAAAAGCAAGTTTTTCCAAGACATGCAGACACTGCTGCTCACAAGACAGCGCAATGAGCATGAGGGCGAGACAGGAAACTGGTTCTCCCCATTCATCGAAGCATTACATAAAGATGAAGGAAATGATGCAGTAAAAGATGTATTACTTGAAGCTACCCGGAGGTTCAACCCCAATGCATTCATTTGCCAAGCCTTAGCAAGACATTTCTACCTTAAGGAGAAGGACTTTAAAAATGCTCTATTTTGGGCAAAACAAGCAAGAAACATAGAGCCCAATAATTCCTACATCTCAGATACACTAGGTCAAGTCTACAAAAGTAAAATAAGATGGTGGATAGAGGATAATATGAGAAATAGGAGTATCTCAGTTGATGATCTGACTGATCTTTTAGAATCAGCAGTGCATGCATCAGATGCTTTCAGAGATTCTCAACAGCAAACTGAAGACAGAGAATATGAAGGGAAAGAATGGCTGAATCAAAAGTCAAAAAGGAGGTATGACACTTACAACATAGCTGGTTATCAAGGGGAGATAGAAGTTGGACTCTTCACTATCCAGATCCTCCAACTCATTCCTTTTTTTGACAAAAAAAATGAACTATCCAAACGAGATATGATCAACTTTATATCAGGAAATCGTGATATCCCAGGGGATTTAAATGAATTTAAGATAGCACTCAAGAACTTTATTCCTTATCTAACTAACCTTCAATCTTCTTTGAAGAGATCCTTTGATTTTTTTGATGATTACTTTGTCCTTCTAAAACCTAGAAACAATATAAAGCAATATGAAGAGTCTAAAAGTCGGAGAAAGTTGGTAGGGTACTTTAGGAGATATGTAGACATATTCAGTCTCTTGGAAGAATCACAAAATCAAAATTTTAGATCAAAACTCACTGTACCTCTTCAAGTAGAAAGGATCCGGAGAACCCTGGAAGCTTTAAAAGCAGACAAGTTTTCTGGACTCTTAGAATACCTTATCAAAAGTCCACAAGAGGCTGTGGGATCCATGGAACATATAGTGAACCAATACACATACCTTCTTGAGCAGTGTGTTATCAAAACCCAGCAAAAGGAAAAGCAAAATTTTATCTTGGCCAACATCATCCTCTCTTGTATTAACCCAACCTCAAAATCAGTGAAGCCAATTAAGAAACTGAAAGAGCAGCTTCGAGAGATCCTGCAACCAATTGGTCTGACTTACCAATTTTCAGAACCTTATTTTCTCGCTTCTCTTTTATTCTGGCCAGAAAACCAACAACTAGATCAAGACTCTAAACAAATGGAAAAGTATGCTCGGGCACTGGAAAATTCCTTCAGGGGGCAATATAAACGTATGTATCGCACAAAGCAACCAATTGCATATTTCTTTCTTGGGAAAGGCAACAATAGAAACAGACTTATCCACAAAGGAAAAATTGATGAAAGTTTTGAAAAAGTATCTGATATCAATTCCTGGTGGCATAGTGGAAAAGTATGGGAAGAGAAGAAAGTCCAGGATCTTTTGGTTCGTTTACAGGGACGAGCTGAAAACAACAATTTATACATAGAGTATGGAATCAATGAAAAAATCACAATACAAATTACACCCACTCACTTAGGCCAACTTAGAAGTGGAAGAAGCATAGAAAAGGTATCTTTTTATCTAGGGTTTTCCATTGGAGGCCTTCTTGCCTATGACATTAAAATTGTTTAAGATCTTGGGTTTCTCTATCGACAAGTGTAGCTCTAGTATCATCTTTTTTTTCTTTAATTTATTTATAAATACAGCTCAGTAATTCTGTGTAGTGGAAATGGAGCTAGTAGAAGAAAATCAAGGCTGAGCCTCAGGATATTTCTGTGTAATGGGTACACAGAATCCTTTTTACTCTTCCCTCTGTATAACTATATTGTCAGGAAATTATTCTAAAACTTCTACAAAATAAAATTAAAACAAAATATGTGGTTTGTTTTTGTCTTCATAGTCTTATTAGAATCTTGCTCAGAGGAGTTTTTCTCTGCCTCATGTATAAAACTCATCTCCATAATTTATCAGTTCACTCTACTTTTAATTGACAAATGCATATTTAGGGTATCCAATGTGATGTTTTGAAATGTGTATGCATTATAAAATGACTAAACTAAATTAAGCTAAAGAATATATTTATTGATTCACATGAAATGTGTATGCATTATAAAATGACTAAACTAAATTAAGCTAAAGAATATATTTATTGATTCACAAACTTAGGTCTTGTTATAAGAATATCAGAAATTTATTCTGCTAGCAACTCTCTCCTCTCCTCCGTTTCTCCCTCGTATGTCTCTCTTTATATACAAGTATATAGAAACACAAGCATAAGATAAGTATATTCCTACTTTATTTACATAAAGAGAAAAATGAGGATTCTACTGAATCTTCTATTGCTTCTGTTTCCTAGGAGAACTCTAATATTCTCCTGGAAACCAGCATTGCATCAGATGAGTCACATGTCTCCCAGAAACCAGTCTTTTATAGGGTACTCGTGACCAATTCTGAGTCTAAGATAAGAATGAGTCAGATATACTAAACTAAGACAATTTGGTTTCTGAATACTTTCTGAATATGAAAGTGAGACAATTTATTTCAACAAATGTCTTTCTAGAAAGCTTTTAAGTGAACTGACAATTAAATAAAAGTATTCTTATTATTGATTTGAACTCAGAGTATAGAAAAACCAAGGTACCTAGCACTGGAAAAGTAAGGAGCTGACCACTGACCCATGGAAATAAGATCCAAAGATTATATAAAGCAAAAAGGTGGCTGGTAGACAAATATAGCAATACAGTACTTTCCACATAAACAGGAGGACCTGTGTTTAATCCCCAGCACAAACAAAAAAGCTGGGTGTGGTGGCACATACATATAATCCCAGTGCTTATGAAGCCTAGCCTAACTGACAAATTCCAGATCCCAGTGTGTATCTGGAATTTCTTTGTCCCACCAGATCCCCAAAATGACACAGTGTCTTCTTAATAATTATGAAAGCTTGGCCTTAGCTTAGGTTTCTTCTAAACTAGCTCTTTTAACTTAAATTATCTCATTTATATTAGCCTACATTCTGCCAGCTGGCTTGCTACTTCTCCTCCATACTGTACAACTGTCTTTCTCCATGTCTCACTGCTAAATTCCTTGCCTCTCCTCTCCCAAGAGTTCCTATCTCTTCCCAGAAGTCCTTCCTATCCTCTCCTGCCTAACAATTGTCCATTGAACTCTTTATTAAACAAGTTAGAGGATGCCTTGTCACAGACACATCTTCTAAGTGTACAAAAAGATTATCTCATAACACCAATGAGAGACTACAACAACTGTGGACACCTCCTAAGGAATGACACTCCAAACTGACCTATAGCCTCTACACATGTGTGCACACATCTGCACATGAACATACACAGAGGGAGAAAGATAGAAGAAATGTACCCATACAGAAATTAACTATTTTCTACATTCATTCACTGTGTTTCATATAATATACAGCAATCTAAAGTTGGGTTTTATCATTTCAATAGTGTATGAGCAACTCTACATGCTGGTTTAGTGATAGAAATAATAAACAAGTAAAGCAATAATGTTCTTTTAACTCATTTCAGCCTGCATTAAATACTACCTCATTTACTCAAGTTTCAGGAGTTAATAATAAACCCTGACTGCAAGCAAACAAACTTTTAACTAATGCATTATTTGAAACTTCACGGAGCTTATCTCATTCTCCAAGGCATTGGTGCTTACCAAACTGTCAAATTAATTTGTCATTTCCTATTTGTATAACTCAATTACTATGCTACCATCAATTTAGTGGTTCTATATAGCATTCTGTAGTATGTCTGAATATATTCAAATGCTGTCATAAGTAAGGGCTCAAGAATTTACAGTCCTATGGTAAAATTACTGATGAATAGCTTTACCCATTTCAGATTCTTCTTCCTGATTTCAGGATTAGAATTTAATATTTTGGATAAGCCAATGGTCTCATATCACGTAGCCAAGGTTATCTTCAAAGGCTGTAGCAAAGACTCTACATTCTGCTGAGGCAGCTACTACTACTCAGCTAAGTTTACAAGCTTATTTATTGTCTACAGAAAAGCTCTTGCCAATTTCAAGTAATCAATATAATAGGGACTCACATTCCCAGACTACAATACAAAGAGGCTGAAGTGGAGGCAGCAAAAGTGATAGATTTATCTTACAAATAATTGGAAGTCTGTCATCAAAATGTTGCATGAAGAAACATAACCATAGTTAAAAGAAGAAGCAGAAATCCATCAAGTAAATGAGAAATAATGAAATATAAATAATATAAATAATAATATAAATATAAATAATGAAATAATAAATGGTATAAGGAACTACATGTAAATTTCAGGATTCAAAGGAAGAATTGAAATAGGAAAGTCAATGGATTGACCCAATGACAAAATTAAGAAGTCAGGAAAATGAGTTGGTGAATTTGAAGAAAGCACACTAGAAAATATTTAATCTGACCAAAGGGCAACAAGCTGAAAGATGCAGATTCAGGAACTTGTGAACAGCAAATGTTATAAGAACGTGTAATATTATATACATGTATGTAAGGTAGACAGATAGATAAGCTTACTGGTAAATAGATTATAGACAGATAGACAGATAGATGTTTGTTTGGAGGGAACTCAGAATGAGGAAGTAAAGCAGAACTGAGAGAGTACTTGAAGAAATAATGATTAAAATTACTCAAAATTTGGCAAAAGGTTAAGGATATCTCAATCAGATAATTTCAGGGGAAAGCACACCAAAATGAATTATTTAAGAGAGCTGGAAAAATTAAATTTTAAGATGACAACAAAGAAAAATCAAATCTTAAATGTTAGTTATTATAAAATGTCAATATAACAGGACATCTATCGTGATTCACATACACAAAAGAAAAGATACAAATTATAGGAAACTTTGAAAAGTTTCTACTGGAGAAAAACCTAAGTGAAACCCTGTCAGGGCATCAGAGCAGGCAACAACTTAGGAGCATCTGTAACCTCAACTCTGGTGAGCATGGGGTAGAGACAGGCTAATAATGCCTGAAGCCTGATGACTGGCTAGTCTAACCAAATCCTTGAGCTTCAAGTTCAGCTCCAAAAATAAGGTGGAGAGTGACTGTAAAAGGCATCCAACTTTGACCTCTGGTCTAAACATATATATACACACAAGCACATGCATATACATGTACACATACAAGTACATGTATACACACACACACACACACACACACACAAATAAACGAAACTCCAAAAACTAGCCTCAAATAGTTTTACTTGAGAATTCTATCCTACCAAAAAATTAAAGAACTCTAGCTGTTCCCCCAGATTCAACTCCCAGTCTCATGCCCAGCTCTTCAGTAGAACATCTATGACAGCCTTCACGGCACCCCTGTCCCCCTTCTAACCTCCCATTCCACACTCACTGCTTTGTCCCAGCCCACAACACCAGGCACCCCTTGCTAACCCAAGGGCCATTCCTGCCAGGGCAACAAGTAGGCAGAAGGGAGGCCCACACCTCTCCCCCTGCTCCTCCAGATCCTTTCGCTCCAGTCTTATCCCCAGCTCGGTAGCAGAAAACTTGGTGCAGTCTCCTTTTCCTCCCTGACTTCATCTCTAACAGATCACAGAGACCTTTTCAACCATCTTCCTTCCACTCACTATCCTAGTATCCCAGTCTCCAATATCAGCAGGCATTTCCCATGAACACACCAAATGAACAGGACAGAGAAAGAGGCAAGCCAACTGAAAACCTCCGCCACTCCCTCCTCTTCTCCAAACCCAATCCCCAAGGTTTTTTTTTGTTGTTGTTGTTTTGTCTTTTTTTTTTTTTGCTTGTTTGTTTGGTTGGTTTGGTTTTACAAAGAGAACATTTCATTGTTTATGAGATCCAATTGGCCAGAGGCACAAAAAACACTAACAAATGAGACAGGTGAGAGAGGGAAGAAAAAGTATCAGAAGAGAATAAAATTTGGGGACAATAAAAAGGATGAGCACATTGGTGTAGGGTAGGCAAGCAAAACAGCAGGCAGTTATCAAGGAAGTCAACATGAACATTCTGCCTTTGCTGACTTGGGCTATTGAAGAAATGATTTCTTTTGATGAATTCTCCAGAAGAACAAACAGTTTAGCTGTGGCACTATGCGCCAGGCTGCCTCTGTAATCTCTGCCAGCCTCCTACCCAACAACACCCTGCCAAGCCAGATAACATGTCACTCCCTAGAAGCTCTTGTTGGGTGGATGGATCCCAGCAGCTTCTCAAGTATCTTAAGATCCAGGAGATACATGCCATCATTGACACGAGAATATCGGGGTGTGTTTGAGAGCAAGGGAGGCTTTCTCAGTTCCTGTGCTTTGCCTGGGAACTGCAAACTCAAAGGCCCTGGAAACTCAAGAAACCCCAAGCTAGTGACTATTAGATTCTTACCTCTTGAATTCAAAGAATGAAATTAATTCATGGACCACTGAAGGTAAGTGTGTGTGTGTGTGTGTGTTTGAGAGAGAGAGAGAGAGAGAGAGAGAGAGAGAGAGAGAGAGAGAGAGAGAGCTGTTTTTATTACAGAAAGCAAGCAAGGAAGGAAAGGAGAGAGGGAGGGAGGGAGGGAGGGAGGGAGGGGGGGAGGGAGGGAGGGAGGGGGGGAGGGAGGGAAGGGAGGGAGGGAGGGAACGAAGAAAGCAGGCTCCTGCATACAGGAGGGGTCCCTGGAGTGGGATGCCATTGAGGGCCACTGCCTTGAAGTTAATAAAGCTTTTCTGGGTGAAGGATGGGCAAGGAGGAAATAAGTTGATTCAAAGTGCCTGTGTTTCAGCCATAGCTTCCTCATGGGTGGAAGAGATGAAACAAACATACCTCTACTTTCTGATACTCCCTCCAATCATGACAGAACCAGAGACATTTTGGCAGAAACATATCT